CATCAATGTTCACGCTAAGTCGACAAGACATTTGGAGGGAAAAAAATAAAAAAAAAATAAAAGGTGAAAAAATGAAAAGTCATTGAAAAAAAAGACGCTTCTGTTTTGGGTCCATTTCGGGAATACCAGCTTGTGATGTCGTCTTCCTTTTCTTGGAATTGTAAGGTATCGAGGATGGTTCTTCTGGGGTGTCCTGCGCCACTTCGCGAATTGTCTGCCTAGAGAGACAGAAGTCCACATGCTCGTTGAATGTGCGGTCATCCGCAATCTGTGGCCGGGTACATATGGGACAATCCCAGATTGGGGGTGCTTCAACCACCTTTGGGGCCGCAGAGGCCTCTGGCTCACGAATGACAGTAACATCGGGTGTTTCTTGACTCAGCTGCTCTAGGTCATTCATCTCGTCCTGGATTTCCTGGCGAGCTGCTGCCTCGAAAGCCTCCTCGGCACAAATCTCATGATCTGCATGTACACCAGAGGACGATACAGGAGTGGGCTCAGAAGTAGGCCCAGGGGCAGATTTTGGTTTTGTTGTTACGCCGAAAAAGTTAATTCCAACCTTCTGAGTGCTGACCAAATTAGAGCAGCGAAGACCGAGAAGCCGTAGCTTCATGTTCGGAATATCCTTCTCAAGCTTGGCGAGCATGGGTAAAGCAAAGGAGTACAAGTCTTTTGCTAGGCAGACGGCACGAGATGGAGCTGTCTGCCGTGTGAGCACTTCGAAGGTATGCAGTTTGACTTTCAAGGTAAGCGTGCGGCCTTTGAACTGAGTCCGCGCCAGATCTTTTTCAAGTTCCTGCGCAGCCCACCAGAGTTTCTCTCGTAGTTCCTCCTTGTCTCCAATTTCTTGAAATGTGGTCTCTGTGCTGACACTTTTTCGCTCGTGGGTCTCGACGGGTTCGATTTTGGTCCGCCCAAGTCCGAGGTAGCACTGGGCCAAGAATTGGAACGCCTTCTCTCCAAATAGCTTGGTCAATAAAGCTCGGTGTGGGAAGATATCACGACACTTTTTGACGCCTACTGATTCCAGCTCTCGCTCAAACACTCGGCCAATTCCATTGACTTTTCGGACCGGCAGGTCACCCATGAATTCCATGATTGCCTCGCGTTCATTGGGAACTTGAAATTGCCCATTGGGCTTGTTGAGGTTGGAAGCGATCTTTGCGATCTTCGCATTAGCACCAATCCCGGCGGAAACAGACACCTTGGTTGTCTCCAATATCTCTACACGCATTCGTTGGACAACCTCATGAGGCTCCACATGGTTTTCGTCGCAGTATGCTGTGATATTCAAATAGGCTTCGTCTATACTCGCACTTTCGAAAAGAGGGTCATATTCGGCCATGATAGCCCGGATTTCGTTGGCCTTTGCGGTGTATTTGTCGTAGTTCATCGGCAAAAGAACCAGCTGTGGGCAGAGCTTTTTCGCGACAAAAGAAGCCATGCCACTTCTAACGCCAAATTTTCTCGCCAGATAATTGCAGGTTGTCAGGACTCCTTTACCCACCGCCATAGGCACCGTTTTTAATTCGGGCCGGTCAAGCTCTTCGACGGCGGCAAAGAATGCGTCACAATCCACATGGATGACATGCTGGGAAAGATCGCGGCTCAATTCTAGCTCAGCGATGTATTCATCGGCACGTCGTAGCTCAGTGCTCAAGTCTAGACGTTCTAGCCGTGCCTTTTCTTTTAAGATTCGTTCGATTTTCAGCGTGAGATTGCGATCCCGATCTTGTTCGTGATTAAAAAATTTAGAACCCTTGGACGCATTGTAGATAATCTCTGATACCTGGAAACTCGACTTCAGCTATAGCTCAAAATATAGATACAACCATCAAGCGCACCTTTTGCTGATCCACCGAGTCTTGGCCCGCTTTGGTTAAAGAGGGCCCGAGGAGTTGATATTTCAGAGTCTCAAAATCCTCGTCGGGAGCAGACTCAGGCTGTGGATCACTGGCAGGATTCTCCCCTGAGGACTCCATGTTTTCCACTGTCCCATCGATGGCTGATGGATGATAATGAAAGAGGTGAGATCGCGGAAATCACTTTGACGCGGAGTCACGTGGACACGCGTTTCAACCTGCATGGGTCTCTTGAGGCGGCGTATTCTAAAGCTGAACAATAATTTCCGAACTCGTCATCATGTGGATTCTTGATTCGACCGGTGATTTTCTGGAAGGTGAGATATTTGATCGAAAGGGATCGATCGGTTGCTAAAACCTCATAGGGAAGCGTGTGTGGTTGCGCCCTGGAAAGAAGTATCTATTCGGTCGATTCTATCGAGACGGAGGTATGGCCTACTTCAGTTGGAGGATCATACAGTCTGACTGACCTCTTATTGAATAGTCCGCCATGCTGTCAATCACAATTCGATATCCCGCAAGCATATGACCATTGAAATCTCACCAGTCAATCCCAGAGATGGGGTATGGTTGACTCCCCCGCGATGATATGCATTCTCTGGCTAATCCAGCCCAGTTATCACCACGAGCGCGATCCGATATTACTATAACTGATTTGGGGTCGAAGAAAGGAACAGTCGTCGATGAAAGGAGCATCCAAGGAGAATGCAAGTTGGAGAGGAGCGACGAGCATGTCATCAAGCTCGCGAAATACCAGCATACACTCCGGTGCGTATATCGGCTTATGATAGGGTTGAATTCAAGCTGATGATCTTTATAGGATCAAATGGGAACCCCTAGTCCTCACCTTGTCAGCCTCCTCCAAGCAGGTGCGAGGTGAAGATCCTCTGGCCCATGTTCGCTCACGTCTAGAAGACCTTGACATTAAAACTATCATGGACTATATTGTCGATCACACAACACATGTGGTACAGCGCAAACGGAATACAGCCAAGGGTCTTCAGGCACTCGTCAACGGGAAGTACATAGTAGATGATTCATACATCGATGCACTCGTCTACGCGGCTACCCCCAGTGATCTTGAGAACGTTGAGTCACTCTGTCCTCTCGAAACGGACTTCCAATCGGCGTTGCCCGATCCAAATGAACATCTCCCGCCTCCCGGTAAAGAGCCAACCCAGCGCCCCGCCGCTGCTTTCGCTCCCAATGCCGCACGTCTTAATGTCTTCGAGGGATATACGTTTATCTTCGGTGATACAGCCCAGTTTGAAAACCTGCAAGGTCCAATCAACAATGGCCAAGGAAAGGCGCTTTTCTACCAGGTTGAGGATGGGGTTACAACTGCCGCAGATATCGTTCGGTTCATGAAAAAGGCAGCAGGGGGGAAAGGCGTAGGTAGCGAGCGGCATGGTTCTGGTGGTGTCGTTCTTGTTCGCTTCCGATCAAAAGGCGACCTCGAACAATGGTCTATTGATGTCGGTAATGAAGTTGCTCTAATGACGGACCAGCGCGTGATAGAGCAACGAGAGTTTCTTGATGCTATCCTGGGAAATGATGCATCACCCCTCTGTCGGGCCTTGCCTACGGAGGAGGGCTCTAGTCAGATCTCCTCATTTACACCAGCAGTCGATCCTGAACAAACAACCCAACCAGCAATTTCTGTCGTGTCTGAATCGGTATCTCCCCCTGAACCTGAGCCTAGCCAGCCTTTGACAGCTCGGAGCAAAACATCCCGTGTGCGTCCATACGTCAGTAAAATGAAGACCTTCGATGACGGATTTGACATGGAATCTGTCCCAGTGTATGCGCCTGAAGAGGACACCAATATCAACTCCACTCAGACCATGGAGCTCGAAACTCAAGTGCCATCCCAAGCAACGCAGCCCCTGAATACAGTAAAGGAAGAGCCCGAGGAGGATACGGTCGCTGATCTGCTCCCGGGCGCCCGTGCAATGAAGCGTCGTCGTGCAGATATGACTCGCCATCACCCAGAGGGTGAGGCTGTAGCCCCGGATTCCGAGGCCCCCAAACGCAAGCGGCCTAAACTCGACGTGCTCGAAGCCGCGCGGCAACACCGAGAAGATGAAGAGCAACAACGCAAAGCCGAGGAACAGTCACACCCAGCCGACATAGGTGAGGTAGATGTGGACCAATTGAAGAACCTGGCCATTGTGGAAGAAATGGAATTTCCCGTTCGGAATGTACCAGCGCGTGACGATCAAAGCTCGGATCGATGGGAAGACCAATGGAATGGGCGCAAGAACTTCAAGAAATTCCGGCGAAAAGGCGAGCCGCGTACTCGAGCTCGCATCCAGACGGTAATCGTTCCCCTAGAAGAAGTGACTCGCAAAGACTACGGAATCGGCGATCACTATTGGGCCAGCAATTCCGCTGAGACGAACCCTCGAATCGAGCCTGAAGGTCCGGTCTCTGATGATCGTGGCGATCAAGTTGCTCCATCACGCTCCGAGCTGTCAGCAACTGTACGCACCTCTCCTGACCCAACTCCAGATCCAACTCCGGCTCGACGCCCAAAGAGGGCTCGCGAGGATCGCGATTCGGATAGCGATGATGGGCTTCGTTTCCGTTTCAGGCGTAAGCGGTAGCTTACACCTCATCCTTTTTTTTTTTTGCTTGGCAATAGTTTTGTAGCGTCTATTCTGCATCGATACCCTTCCATCCCTTAGCCGATTAGTGTGTTATGTATGTTTTGTAGGTAAATGATGCCCCCGAGGTCAATTTCAATCACAATAACTAAATATGTATGGATCATCTCTGTCATGTTCCTCATTGTCTTGGAAGAAGGCATAACTATAGGGGCCAAGGTAACTGTCACCGCCATACGATCTATAACATGATAGAGTCATAAAACAATATAACATGTATACATAATGCAATCGGTCTATTCTAATCATATTCATGTTATTTCATTGATCATGAACCTCGTTCCGGTTCTTTAAAAGTCTCAATATCAAGTGTCTCCCAATAGTAAAAGGTCCGTGTCGCGCAACCTGTCTCCTCTCTTACATTTCACCTCCTTCCCCCATACATCGTCACTTTCTTCTTCTACAGATGTACTTGGCATTTCTTTTCTTCTTCACTAGGTTCTTCCTTTTCTTTCATCTTCTTCTCATCTCTTCATCTCCCGCCTGGCTTGTCTCTCTCCCCACCATCCTCCTTCCAACCCGTCTCCCCAAGCTGCCCAGCAGCCTGATCTGCGAGCCCCTCTTCTGTTCCTGTAACTTGTCTCCTTCGTGGATTCGATCCACTGATAGCTCCGGTCTGTAACGGGACCGAACGTCGAGCCAGTGCGGCTTTGGTATCAGCGGTTAACCACAGCTGTGAGGTGAGTACAGTATATGCACTGCCCGACATGGCCTGTTTGCTCACTGACAGATGCCAAATCCAGGCCTTCAGGTTGCAGTTCCTCTTCCGGGGGAGAGCAAGTCATCTCAATGGCTTCTAACTCTCCTTATCTCTCATCCTCATCCCCCCGCCTCTCATGATGCCGGCAATTCCTCCTTCCGGGCTGGTATCAGTGAATCCACTAGATAGTGCACCTGTTGCAGTTCCTGCAAGCGTAGGAAATCCAAACTGCAGCACCACTGCAAATGTTCTTTCTGGGGATATCTCTGAAAACCGCCCCTCCAGCCCTATTCCCGTGAGTGAGGACCAATCTCATCTCCCCGCAGAGGTCCCCGCATCAACTATCTCAGCCCCCGCCCAGTCGGCAATCCAATTCGTGAACCTTCCAGTTGAGATCCATGAGATTATTCTGGATTATATCTTTGGCAAAAGAGCCTCAGCTGGTAATCATACAGCATATGGTCAATCTTCTGCTCAGAACTGGAGCAAGGCTCTTCATCATCCGCGGCGGAAGGCCCTTTCCAACCTGGCCGTGACTTGCCGGGTATGGACTGGGCTTGTTCAAAGCCGAATCTACCGCCATGGTGAGTTTTATCTGAATGTGAAACTAAATCTTAGACAGATTGCACTGACAATTGACTGTTCTATGTAGTCAGAATCAAGGGCACCAGAGATGAATTAGCCCACTGTGTCCGGTGGTTCAAGAGAAACCCGCATTTGATTCCTTACGTCTGTCACATTGAGATTTGGATGCCTATCTGGGGAGATCGGGCTCTTCGGCCCAACACTTCTCGCTTGAATGCGGCTGCGGCAGGACGTGTTGTACCTATGCAGTGGAATCATGACCACCACCAGGGAAGTGAGATGTTTTATTTTCACCGTGCAGCTAACAACGCATCCTTGGAGGAGATATTCGGCTTTATTCGGCGCTTTCTCCCTGCTGCCCGAGTTTTCACTCTAGAAGGTAGCGACTGTAAGAACCCGCCAATGGTCCAACATTTCCGCCGTGGTCGTGGCATGTACAGTCTGCAGGCTCTCATCCAACGGCGTCTACCTGTTCTTGAACACATACAAACATTCATCATGCGAGGTGCCTGGAACCTGATGCGACAACTTGGCGACTGGCAAAACATTTCACGGGCATTACCAGCTTTGGGTGAATGGCATTGCGCTTGGGCCCAACCCCACATAAATGCCTACTTCATCATGATACACATTCTCACCCGCCCTCAAACAACCATCCGACACATCAATCTCAGCCTTGAGGGATTTTACAACAATGATAGTTTGGTACGTGGGCTTCCTGGGCCTCGAACCATGCTTCCTCCAATCTGCAGTCTGCTTGGAGACACAGTTCCGTGTCTAGAGTCATTTACCTACACTGGTCGTGTATGCTGGTACTTCTTCGAGACACTGAAGCAAAGGGCAGCAGCAATGGGTTCTGATTCTCGACTCAGGTCACTGGACCTTATAGTCAAGGCGTGCTGTCACAACGACAAGGTAGACAAATCGCATCACTGGTCGCAGATGAGCCAAGGAATCGGTGGAATTAACAGCATTGCATTTATTCGTGCTTTTGAAGCAATGGTGGTCAAGTCCATCGAGTGTCTATCCGTCCTCCCTGCCCTGGAATACATGCGGATCCGTTTCATCGACCTCGATTCAACCTGCCCGCCTCTGAATCCGTATTTCCAACTTGTCAATGACGAGTGCACAGGCCTATGGAGTCAGGACATTCTGGAGGCATTGCGCATGAACAGACCATCGGCCTCATTTGTCGCGCTTACAGATGGAACAGCTGCGGAGTACGATGACCAGCAAATTGTGGGCGCCCTGACACCCCGAGTTCGCCCTCTGGGTATCCAAGTGAACACGTACAGTCTTCTTGCCGACAGCTCCAACCCGTACTAGGCTTCCAGCTCGCCTTGATCTTTTCTTGTGTTTCAGCATAATACCCCTTCATCGTTTCTGCCATCTCAGCGATTTTCTTGTTCGGCATTCGAAATCTGCCCGTTGTGATATCACGTCAGTGGATCTCATTTGAGGACATATTTGAGTTGCCATGTGCAATTCAGGTATAGTCACGGGCCACACTCATGCCCATTAATCTTTTCTTTTCTTTTTGTTTTCTTTTCTTCTTGTTTTTCTTTTTTTTTCTTTTTTTTCTGTTGTGTCAGAGTGCGCGGTGGCCCGAGGGGCTTTTGACTTCTCCAATTCAAAGAAGTCAGACAGAAACCGTCGCCCTTCTTTTCTGTTCTTGGCTTGCCGTCTTAAAGACGGCAAGCTGTGTTTGAGTAACAAAACACTCTGTCGACGCCATTTGTCGATTGGAGTAGTTAGTGGGGGAATTCGAGGGGCCGGAGAATCATGTTCTTGTGTTTTCGCCGGTTGGCTGGGTTCTCATGTTGACCCATCACATGCCAGATGGGTTGGTTTGTATGAGTTGTATGTAGTTCAACGTCGTTCCGATCAATCACCGTTGCTTCTATCTAAGATCCGTAACTATATGCATATCTCTATTAAGTACATGTAGTTTCCCTCTCATTTCAGTCCAACTATGATCTCGCCGGCACCCTCCCCTCCATCCCGAGCAATGATGCCCAGGATCCAGACATTCACGGCGAAGAAGAAAAGCCCTGCGAGGAATAGCCCGGGGACGAAGGACGACAAGCCTAGGAATTCGAGGTTGTAACCTTGGTGCAGCCAGAGGGCCTACATGGTCTGTTAGAGTTGAAGTCCTAGTGAAGATTCTGGCATCAGAGGGGTAATAGACAATACACACCTGTCCAGCAATCCATAGTACGGCAGCTGATATGCCAAGAGTCGGTTTGCGAATAAGCGAGGAGGAGGGTAGGTAAAACGGCAGTAGGATGAGATACCAGAGGAAATACTGGACAAGTTAGCTACCAATATGACCATTTTAAAATGAATAACATACCTGGCTAGTACAGACTTTGTTGAAAGTGACAAAGGTAAAAGTCTGCGCGAGCATCGCAGTAGTCAAGCTCTTCTTTGCTAGAACAAGCGGCAAAGCAACAACCACAAGGATTAGTTGCGGAAGGAAGGCCAGTGCCTCGAAGCGAGTTTCGGCCCCTCCGGCAGCAGACAGATATAGTAGTGTACTATAGGGAGAGAAATTGTGGCGGTGGTCGATGCGAGTAAGATGATGGAAGAATGTGTGATGCAAGAAAGGTTGGCCGTACTGGAGGTACATGACGAGATTCAATGCCACAAAACTGGCCAGTGCGGCGACAGTAAACTTCACGCGGGACGGGGTAATGAATCCAAAAGTCTTTGACAGCAGACCTGAGCCAGCCGTTGCAGACCCATCGCGCTGAGCATCCCACCACCAGAGAATGGAGACACCATAGATGAAGGGATAAATTTTGAAATGAACAGCAAGACCCAGGATAAGCCCAGCAAGGATAGGCTTTTTCGTCAAAGTTGCCCACAGGAGCGCCGCAACAAGCACGCCAAGCAGTCCTTCCGAACTACCACGAGTACTGATATTGGCAACCATGGGATTCCACAGCCAAACAGCGGCAACATATCGCAGCGCGCGCTCGACAGGAAAGCGATAGCATCGGACAAGCAGCTGAACAACAAGCCATCCAGCAAGTACATCAGACAATGCAAAAAGCACCTTTCCAAAGGCGAAAGTGAATGTTGACCAAGGCGCGGCCCCCTCCCACGCAGTCGGGAGAAGCATCCACGCCAAGAGTGGCGTGTAGCGGTAAGTATCGCGAGCATAGGGCGACTCTCCTTTTGCGACATAGCGCGCAGCATCAGAGAATACCATGTAGTCGATATCAGTGTATTTGACCGCCGAATGCGCGTCCTGCCAGCCTCCATAGACGAGGAGGATGAGGCGGAGGGCTGTTGCGGCGAGGAAGACTCGCGCTGGAGAGTTGAAAAGAGCCATTTTCTTATCTTAGACTTGGGAGTTTTTCTCTCTCTCTCTTTCTTTTTCTTGTCCTTTTATGACAACCAAATGAAGAAATTAAAGGTTGCTAGATAGTCTGTTGTGGCTAGCTCGCATAATTGGGCGTCTTGATGAACCCCTTGGCGGATATTGAGGGAAGTAAGGCGCTGCACATCCAACCAAATTTGTTTTGGACCTTAAAATCTGTAGTGACGGTGAGTGTGAATTAATTCACTTCAATTCCATTCCATGTAATTCGTGCCTGGTAACTTGGCGGATGTTTAGGTGGAAGATGTTGATGCCACCACGGCCGCCTAGGCTTGATGCCACGCTGACTCAGCATGGTCCACGGGTGTCCACCAGATTGCCTAACCGAGACTGAAAGTATACCGGCAATGGACATACATAATGTAGCTATTTAAGCAGCCTTAACACACTGGCTAGTCACTTTTGATGTCTACTTTGAGCTTAAAAGTTGGATATAGTATATCTTTCCTTAGTTTCACGGTGTCTCCTCTGGCCCATGTAATGCTATATATATAGTCAGGCTAGGTGTTTAGGCAGATAGATATAAGACAACATATGCACCGTCTATATACTGTTGTATGTAGTCAAGCAGAATGAACTTCCAACTGCAAAATGCGGGGAAAGTGGCAATGGAATTTCGGGAATGTCAACGTCCCTGCACTCCAGGGCTTCTTGGTATTTATGTACGATGAAAGTCCCATAAGAAACAGTGTGATGTCACCGTCACCATTTTTCAGAGTCTAGGGCCTAATATGTATACCGCTGCAGTGATAATCGGAGGTTCCGACTGTCCCTATGATCTTTTGACCGAATGATTAAATGCTCTTATGTAAATCTCCAGGTGCAGCGGCCTGAGTTACCGCCTGGATTACAAATTTATTTACACTGTTTGAGAAGATAGCCACAAACCACACCGAGGCACTCTGGATGAGACCATTAACGAAAGGCATATGCAGCGTAACCAAAATGTTAAGCATGCTCCCTGCCAAAGTGAGGCACAGTATTATACCTCGGACCTGTATTACTTGAACCGCTTGCGTAAGAAGCCATCGCCTGTATTTGAAACTTGCCTGGCTAGATTGGGACAACTTCGTCTGAGAGGTTAGATGCCGTCAGATTATCTGGTCTACTTTTATACCAGAAGCAATATGACAGACTAGTTCTGAATCTTTCAATACAAACCTGGCCAGTCTTAACAGAGATCACAGTTTACTAGGTAGAGACGTACTTCAGGTTCGTCCTCCTTATCTACGGACCTCATAAACCACCGTACAATAGCACAAGAAGATGGCGATCACCCCGCAAAAGAAACAAAGCTATATTATAAAGTTTATGGTTGCCCCGGTCCGCGGTATCCTTTCATAGACATATGATAATTTCATAAGGGCTTGGTGATTATATAGATAGATCTCCTTGTGTATTCTTCTTTCCGTCAAAGAGACCTTATCATGGCACTGGGCATAGGAAAGTATACTATCGGGGCCAATCGAGGACTTCTCAAGCCAGAGTCTGATGAGTCTGAAAGGCTCGAGAAGGTCGAATCAGTGACCTCGACCTCGAAAAAGAATAGATTCCGCCGGCATTGCAGGCGATTCTGGTGCATCTACCTCATTGCCAATGTCATATTCTTGGCTATTTTCTTGCCTGTTTTGTAAGTCAAGGTGCTATTTTGCCTATTCTCCTTCTTATCATCAAACTAACTCTACTAAACAAGCTTTCTGGTTGCGATTCCTGCCATCGCGCAAATGGTTGTCAATAAATCGGATCTGCGAATTGTCAATGCCGAGGTGATGCACCCAACAGCAGATACAGTACGGATGACACTAGAAGCAAAGGTAAACTTGAAGCTTGCAATGGGCGTTCGACTCGATCCAGTTGTCTTCTACGCATTTGTGCGCTCCGCTGGCCATAAAAATGCATATGCAGGAATTGAGATCCCCGGCCAAACTATCAAGGGGAATTATTCACTCGGAGTCACCGACCAGTTGACACCGATTCTCAATATGACTTCCTGGGAAACCTTTGTGACCCAAGCCGTCTCCCAAAAGGAAACCGCACTCTCGCTATATGGAGCGACCACTGGATATCTCGGGGTCCTGAAAAACCACATTGTATTGGATAAAGATGTGCCAATTCCAAGTGAGTACTTGACTACAGCGGTCTTTTACCCGTGGACGGTGTTGCTAATCTCTGAAGTAGCTTTGAACAAGTTTGCAGGCTTCTCCATTGCAAATAGCACATTCCTCTTACCGGCAGAGGACGATGGATCCAACCTCGTTGCCAATATTACACTTCCAAACCCCTCCCCCTCAGCTTCGAAGTTGGCACTATCACACTCGATCTCAAAAGCGGCAATACCGACCTAGTCATCGGCAAAGCAACGGTCAAAGACGTCACAATCAGACCAGGCAACAACACTTTCCCGTTGAGAGGTGTGATCGACATTAATACGATGATAGGCAACCTCACCGAAGTTCTCAGCTCACAGGGCCCCGCCATCAGACGAGGTGCACTGAGCCTGACAGCTGTGACCAAATCAATTATATCCAACGGCACTCTAATCCCGTACTATACGAAGGCCCTCAGTTCACTCCCTCTGGTAGCAAACGTGAGTATTGGCGATGTTCTCAGAAACTCGCTTGCTCGTCTGGGCTCGAGTGAAATATTTTCAGACTCCGATGACAAACGCAGGAGAGGCCCTGTTCGGTTGGACGGTCCGGTTGGATACGGTGATGCATATAGCCAGGTTGCAAGTCTGAAACACAACAGGCATGTTCAAAAGATGTTTGAGGACGAACATCCCGAAAGACGAGATGCAATTATAGATTCGCTGGCTGAATATTATGCCGCACTATGAATGTACGATTTAAATTGGGGGTTGACGATACCTTCATCACACTTTTTCTGTCCGAATTGAATCTTGATGTTTTGCCTGTGGAAGGTACCGTGAGATGTGAGAAATATGAGGAAAAATAAATAAGAAAAATAGAAAATCGTACAGTACATTGATATACTTAAAACATTTAAACGAAAAGTCAAGTCCTGTCGTACATTCATTTCCCACGTATGCCCTATGCAAACATGCTAAATCGAGAAATTTCAAAGAAATGAAAATAATAGAAGAGAAAAGAGAAGACAAGAGAACAAATGTTCAGTAATAGAGTCCACCATTAGCAAAATACCCAGGATCCAGCATGGGATCAAAATACGCAGGCTGTTCTCCGAATTTGGGGCCTTTCTCATGATCAGGAGTCAACAAAGTCATCACTTCATTCCTCCCATCAGTATCAGTGACAATCCCTGGCCACAAGTTATTATCACTCCAGCTCAAATACTCCCAGAGATACTGGCCCCCTGTTTCATCCGTGAACGGCGTAGTGGCGAGGGGATCAAGGAACCCATTCTCGCCCATGGCCATATTACCACGACCCGGTTCAGGCGGTGGAAACATAAGTGACATATCCCGACCAGCGGGATAAGAGTCACTAATGATACTAGCGGAAGAGTCCAGATCGGTGAGATCCTGCCCCCGCTTGCTGGCCTCGTAGATACGCGAGATAGCATCTAGCGACCGCTTCGCCGTATGTCCAAAGGACTGCATACGGGAGAGGGTCATCATAGCCATTTCCACCTGCGCCTGACAAGACTCAACGGACGCGCGAGGGTCATTTACCGTTGGATCGTTGAGGAATAATCCCACCAAGGGAACCAGGGAAGCCTGGAAGGTCCACCAGACAGCATTCCATCCGCAAAGCTGATTAAGCTGCGCCGTGGCAGCGATATTCCGAATAGATTCCTCTGCGACTTCGCGACATTTTCCAATCGCGGTGCGCTCCTCGGATCGCAGTGCGATATAAGGCACGCGGCGCATGGCGTAGCTAAGCAGTGTTGGTCGGTACAGGAGGATTCTCTGGTTGTAGTAGCGCCAGCGCATGACCGTGCGGACAGTGTTTATCGACTCTGAGCAGGGCTCGTGGTCTTTCAGGACAGAGGGGAGGTTGTCCCACCACTCGATGAGCTGTGCATCTGCGTGGGCCATTTCTTGGTGCTTGACTAGCGGTGCTGCGGCGAGGGACTCTTGGACTTGGGTTGCGATCTTGGCGAAGCGAATATTTTCCACTAAGGGGAGAATCTCGAGAACGTTTCCCTGTTACAGCGTCATTAGTTGAATGATCATTCTGTTCTAGAAAAGGAATATGACCTACCTTGTCTCGACAAAGGGGTGGTTTGACTGTAATGTTGGAACCCATCCGACCCATACTAGGCCGGCCTAGTGTCATGCCGGCCCAGGTATCCATGCAGAACAAAGACCACCAGACGCGACGCTTGAGATCCATGGAGGCTAGTTTCGCCGGACTCGGTATTTGACGGGTCTCTGCAAACTCCTTGTGCAGTCCCAGAGCAGCCGCCATACGCAATGCAGCACCCAAAATGGAGTATGCCAGATTCGGCTGACTGATATAGTGGCAGTACCAGCCGCCCATCAGGCCGAGCGCTTGAATAGTCTCGATATGGGAACTTCCCAAGGAGCTCAGAGTTAGATGACCCTTGCATCGTAAGAAGTATGTCTGGTGTGTTACATCATCGGGACCTGTAGCTGCAATGCAACCGAGAGCAAGAACGATGTTCAGCAGAGCAAGCCAATGATCATCTCTCCGACGACCGGCGCAGTAAGCCTCGCGGAAGGAGCGCTCATCGATCATAGGAGCGAAGGCTTGGAAATAGAGGAAATATGCATCGAGCATTCGCATCTCTGAGGGTGGAATGAGGGGTTGTGGGGGTGTGGTAGGCCCATGATGCAGCCATCCCACCGCATTCTCCTGTTCGTTCACGGGAGTTCGCGAAAAGTACGAGGCACAGCCTGGATCTAACCAGACAATGACCTTGATCACAGCCTGGATAGATGATACACCCAGGTAAGATGAAGGCTGGCGAGCCGACAACGATAGCCCATTAACATCATCCGAGACACCCTCTACTAGATCCGAAGAGCTAGTATTACGGCTATCCGGGAGTTCCTCGGGCATAGTTTGCAGAGCCTCGAGGTTGTCATCGTCATTTGACAAAGGTGAGAGATGGGCTTCCAGGGAAGCCGATGTCGATGGGGAATCAGCATGATGTGACAGTGTTTGCATGTGAGAGCCCGACGGAGCGGTTATGAGCTCGAGCAGTTTCTCCCGTGGCAGAGATGCCAAAGACTCTGAAGAGAAGTTTGGGAATAACTTTCCAAAGATACTTCGATACTCGTCCAGAGTTGTAGATAGTTTTTCTACATGTCTGTATAGCATAGACTGGTTAGATGGTTGGCGTTAGAAGAAAATCAACAAATGACTCACCTCCGTGACGGCCGCGGGTCTGAATAGTGACACTGGTCTGACTTCTTATACCACCTACATGCCTCACATGGCTTCTCGCCATCACACTTGATCTTGCGATGGCGACAAGATGTACAAGCGCGCAAGGTTGTCACCCGGCGACTAACAGATTCCCGTCTTTCACTCGTAGACCGGTTGCGGGCGGGGATTGCTGCCGTAGGGTTCTCAAACCCCTCGAATGTATGGAACATTGTTAATGATTATGGGGGTATAAAATTTCACGACCACTGTGTGGTCACTGAGTGGGCAACATGTGTAGAATGATGTGCTATGAATGTTGATAAAAGAGACAGTTGATGCTTTACATTGCTGAAAGATGGCAAGTCATCTAAGATAGGAAAAGAACAGAACCTTGGAAGATTAAAAGGGAAAAAAGAGACTAAAACGAAAAGAAAAGAAAAAAAAAAAAACAGGCTGATCCGCTTAATCTCCCCGCATTTTGGTGTTGAATTCGAACTTGTAAGGCATCTTTTGCCAGTCCGAGCTTAGTCGGGTCAAAGTGAAAAGTGATTGGTTTATATGAAGGAGTAGGAGGGGCTGGATCTCCGTGACTCCGGACAATTCCTTGGCGGAAAGACGAACAAACACTCTCCCTCTCTCTCTCTCTCAGATCTATTAGGGGAAGAAAGAAAAAGAAATGGCCTTTCAGCCTCCAGTTAGACATGAAGATTCCCCCATCAGTAACTCCCGGCATATAAGATCAACAGGGGACTGTAGAGGGTCAACTAGGGTTTTGAGTCCCGAGTTGCCTAACATTTCAGCCGGGAATTGCCACGCCAACATGAACAGGGGTGCAGATGCATGCCATTCATGGGAAATTTCTAATTTCGCTTCGAGGTGTTTACACGCCACCGACCGTGCATAGCAGGGTACTCGGTACCCCATACTCCGTAGTGTGGCATGGATTCCCAAAAGTGAGGGGCAATTTCCCCAGACTCACTTGGGCCAAAATCATGAGCCATGCAGGACTGGACGATCGTATGGGGAAGATCACTATGCAAGTCCGTTCTTGCATGGGGAGATTAAGTCGGGGTGTCCAGTAGTCCAGTGGTCCAGTACCAGCAAATTTTCCCTCTCATTTTCATGACTATCCTCCGTGTCCTCCGTACGGAGTATACCATAATGGCTCCAAGCGCGACGCCCAACGCCTAGAATGAGGGATTTTCACGAATCAAGGGGCTGGTGCTCATGTCCACTTATGCTTACCCCGTGTATCAGGAGGGGCATTGTGCCGAAAATTGTCTGGTGGGACTTACCACTGAGAGTCCAGTACCAAGATAATTTCGCGCCAATGTCTCTTTCCGGTCAAGTGCCCGAGATGGGGACATAGGGTGGTTAGCAGTTCTCGCTTTATTTTTCTCTTATTCTCAAGGGAGAAAAGAGGCCAAGTGAATTTCAAGCACTCTGCAGAGCTCCGCACTCCGATCATTGACTTCTGAGAAAGTTATCATGGGGCATTCCAAGCCTGTGGAATAATGAAAGGATGCCGAAGGATGCCGAAGGATGCAGGACGCCCACTGTCTGCCGACGTTTAACGGTCATTGGTTCAGTTGTGAATCGTGACCACTCATGCATATTAACGATGATTGGTGCAATAAGTGTAGTGATGATAAATTAAGTGCGTAGGCTGTTGATGCCCGAAAGAAGCTGCCTGCACAGGTGGAGGGGGGAAAGCAGATGATATATACTCCGTGCATGTCCATCAGTCCAGTGAGTCTCCAAGTTCACGATAGCAGAAACTCATGGAAAAGGAAGCCGAGTATCAACAATGCATGACATTTTGAGCTGGGCGGGACCTTCGCCGTGGCGAACAAAGCTGCCGGATGAACCTCGGGATGTCCAAACTCCCAGAGAGTTCGAGGACATTGCTGAATAGTGGAGAGACCCCGTTGTAATTTTGAAGAGTTGCAAATTACTCTTGTTTTGTTGTATTTGAAGAACATAATTTGCAAATATACAGTGTCATGTGTCACGCTAGTCCATTTCGAACACGGTCAGTTTCGTCTTTCCCGAAAGGGAAAGGGGTTCTCCGGGCTTATCGATAAGGATAAAGCGTTCCCCGACAATGTATAAATCCGGGGCAGACAGAGCTACCTTCTTCATATTGCCAATTGCTTTTTTTTTTCAAAAATGGCTAAGCTTGTGCACTCCCTATCTTCTGGCTGGTCTTTCAAGGACCGGGACACAGATGAATGGCTGCCAGTAGCTACGGTCCCATCCGTAGTACAGCAGGACCTCATCGCTAACAACAAGTGGGCTCTTTTTTCCCCCTCCAGACGAGATGTTTCAAATCTAACAGTATTCTCCCGATAGGCTCGATGATCCTTATATTGGGTTCAAAGAATTGGATGCCCGCTGGGTCAACGAGAAGTCATGGGTCTACCGGAATGTGGTGAAGAAGCCATCCGTCCCCGCCGGCTCTTCAATTATCCTGGTCTTCGACGGTCTCGATACATTTGCCAAGGTCAGACTGGACGGACAAGTGATCCTGGAGAGTGATAACATGTTCCTGGGTCACCGGGTGGATGTAACCAAAGCCTTGGAAACAGAGGGCGAACACACACTCGAGATTGAGTTCGACTGTGCACTCATCAAAGCAAAGGAGCTCCGAGCCCAGGATACCACACACAAATGGGTCGGATTCAACGGCGATCCATCGCGCATGGCTGTGCGGAAAGCCCAATACCACTGGGGCTGGGACTGGGGTCCAATGTTGATGACTGCGGGCATCTGGCGCGCCGTTCGATTCGAGGTGTATCAGGCCCGCGTGGCCAATCTGTGGCCCCAAACCCAGCTATCCACGGACAAGCAGGCAGCTGAATTGACGGCCGTTATCGATGTGGAGAGCGTCGGTGATGGAGAATATACGGCCCAGTTTAGCTTAGGCTTAAAAGGGAGCGAGATTGCGAGCACGACTATCCCCGTGTCTGGGAAGACCGCTCAAGTAACATTCCCAGTCGACAAGCCAGCTCTGTGGTGGCCCCATGGATATGGCGAGCAGACTCTATACGACGTATCGGTATCGCTACTTCGCAATGGTGAACAGGTTGACCAGACATCCAAGAAGTTTGGTATCCGGACCGCCGAGGTAGTTCAACAACCGGACAAGCATGGCAAATCCTTTTTCTTCCGAATTAATGGGATGGACATCTTCTGCGGCGGTTCATGTTGGATTCCAGCGGATAATCTGCTCCCTGCTATTAGTGCTGAGCGATACCGCAAGTGGATTGAACTTATGGTCGCTGGTAGACAAGTGATGATTCGGTAAGTTTTGTTTTTCTTTTCTCGTCGAGGACTTAAGTGGATTTCGCTGACGTTGAATAAGTGTCTGGGGAGGTGGTATTTATGAAGACGACTCCTTCTATGAGGCCTGCGACGAATTGGGAGTGCTGGTCTGGCAAGACTTCATGTTTGGATGTGGCAATTATCCCACATGGCCCAAGATGCTCGAGTCTGTCCGTCAAGAGACAGTCTACAATTTGGAGCGTATGCGCCATCATCCTTCGATTGTCCTCTATGCGGGTAACAACGAGGATTATCAGGTTGCGGAGTCTGAAGGCTTGACCTACAACTACGAGGATAAAGACCCAGAGAGCTGGTTGAAAACAGATTTCCCAGCACGATACATTTATGAGAAGCTGCTCCCAGACGTGGTGGCTGAATACTCACCCGGCACATTCTACCACCCTGGAAGTCCATGGGGAGATGGCAAGATATCGTCAGATCCCACTGTTGGTGATATGCACCAGTGGAACGGTATACATTCCCCAACACACTTCGAGTTATTGAGCTAATCTCCATAATAGTGTGGCATGGAACGCAAGAGAAGTATCAAATCTTCGATACTCTCGGTGGCCGGTTCAACAGCGAGTTTGGAATGGAGGCATTCCCCCACATCTCTACCATTGACTACTTTGTCGAGAACCCGGAAGACAAGTTCCCTCAATCCCATGTGATCGACTTCCACAACAAGGCCGACGGTCATGAACGAAGACTGGCGACGTATCTCGTAGAGAATCTACGAACCGCCACAGACCTCGAGGTGAGACTTACCACCATGATGGCCATTGATACACGCTAAACATCTCTAGACCTACATCTACCTCACTCAAGTTGTACAAGCAGAGACCATGATGTTTGGTTACCGAGGCTGGCGCCGACAGTGGGGCGACGAGCGACACTGCGGCGGCGCACTGCTTTGGCAGCTGAACGACTGCTGGCCGACAATCTCATGGGCCATCGTGGACTACTTCCTCAAGCCAAAGCCCGCATACTACGCGGTCAAGCGGGTCATGAACCCAATCGCCGTCGGGGTCCGACGTGAGCACCACGACTGGAGCGTGGCACATGCCCAGCCACCCAAGACCAGCAAGTACGAGCTTTGGATTGCCAGCAATCAACCAAAGACCGTCCAAGGCAGTGTCGAGCTGCGATTCCTATCTGTCAACACCGGCCGCGATATTCGGGCTCCTATCGTGCACGAAAACATCACCATTACTGCGAATGGCACCACCGATATCATCACTGATGGCGTTATCGACCACATCGCCGAGCGTGAACCGCATGTCCTCGCCGCCCGGTTGTGGGTGAACAACCAGGTTGTAGCACGGGATGTCGACTGGCCACAGCCATTGAAGTATCTCAATCTGTCCGAACGACAGGTGGAGGTTAAGAAACAGACAGCGAAATCTGGTGAGACGGTGTTGGTGATCAGTGCCCGTAAGCCGGTCAAGTGTCTTGTGTTTGAGGAGCAAGAGGGTGTACTGCTTGGAGACAACGCTATTGACATTGTCCCTGGCGATGAGCAGACAGTCATTGTTACTGGCCTTGGAAGTGAGCCTCTGAAATACCGGTATCTGGGGCAAATCTCTTGCGCAGTTGTTGAATGATGAACCAGTACCTATATTATATAGCAGTTACTATATAGCAATGGAAATAATTATTTCAATGAGCAAAAGCACTTAAAGCTGCCGGACATAACTCTTGTAAATCTCAATAGATAGTTAGTTAGTATTACCTGTGGACGATGTTCACGATGTAGTTACGAACTGGCAAAAGAATATCATCATATCTTATCGTGGAGATCTCCCCCGATCTGAACTTAACCACCTCCCAACTTTTTGCCAATGGGTACCAAACGCGACTGGGAAGGCCAGCCCCTCGAGCTAAATCCTGAAGATACAAATAAAGATACGATCATGGCAGAATCAGAGTCAGCACCTTCAATCCTCTCAATCTTCGAGAACTTCCGCGACGAACTGGACGAGCACCATGATCGCCGCGAGCGTATCATCAAGAAAAGCCGCGACATTACCGCGCTGAGCAAGAAGATGTATGCCTCCCCCCTCACCTCACCTCCAACTAAAGAAGAGCCTCACTAACTGAGAGATATGTAGTATCTTCGCACTTCAACGAGTGCGGACAACGAACCAACCCCTCCCACCGAAAATCGCCCAAGAAAACCAAACCCGCTTCGACCAAATCCGCGAGCTATTTGAAGCCGTCGTCCCAGAACAACTAGGCATAAATGGCTGGCGGTACCAGCGACAAATCAGCGCTGGTATCCAAGAATTCATTGAAGCTATTTCCTTCGACCACTACCTACGCACACAAACGCTGATCACGCACGCGGAGTGTTCGGCGCACATCCCCGCGCAGATCCTCGTTTCAGAAGAAGACTACCTAATGGGCCTGTACGATCTCACTGGGGAGATGATGCGGTTTGCGGTTCTATCACTGAGCTCTGGGAACGCAACTGCTATCCAGACGACGGAGAATACAGCTAGCGAAAGCGAGAAATCGACGGTCGCTTCGTCGCAGGGTGGTATCGTGGTTGATCTGCGTGCTATGCGTGCCGGGTTTGAGGCGCTCAGTGTGCCGCCCCGACATTACATGTTCCGGGATATGGCGAAGAAGCTGGATGTGATGCAGAATAGTGTGGAGAAGGTTGAGCGGGCGGCGTATGGGATTGTTGTTCGTGGGAGTGAGAGGCCGAGTGGATGGACACCTGATGTGTCGGCTGCGATGGAGGTGTCATCCTACTAAAGAAAAAAGTATAAAAAAAAAACCCTACATATCATATGAAGTATCCAGCAATGACCAATGGCTTTTGAATGATCACTGTGTATTGATGTAGTTCGGGGGTCCAGTAGATCTGCCTGGAACTATATTTAATTCGATCAAGTCTTCTGCTATGTCCATACCCCAATATCTCCTCCCCCATCAATGACTCATTTTCTTCATTTCTACATTTTTTGATAGAAATCGCATATTTCCGTATTTGACATTGCTATACAGGTAGCGTAACGGTGACATCATCAGTTCAGAAGGGTAAAGACTGTAGAAAACACCATTGGACATTGAACTGAGGTGTTGAAGTGTTGAAATGTAAGAAAAGGAAAAAAAAAAATGGAAGAATCAAACAATCAAAGAAAACGCCCTCATAAAACGATCGTGTCACCCATATCTCATAGCACCAAGAGCCAAAGCACCGTGGCAATGTTGACTCTATAGGACGCCACAATCAAACAGGGGAGCGGGGGTTTTCATCCTCGGAGAGAATGCCCTGTGAAATCAGATCTTCCGGCTGAGGCCGATTCTGAATCTTATGTTCTAGGTTATCGGCCAGCATATGCTTCTCGAGTTCACGGGCATGAGCCTGTAAGGCGGGGGCAGCGGAGGTTGCGGGGAGGATATTACCTTGGCGGGATTGTTAGTATATACAACATACAACATACAGAGAGGAATGATGGCAGGTACAAGAATAAAATAGAAGAATGGGAAGGTATTCAAGGTATTCAAATCAGAATGAAAAGGAGAAAAGAAAGGGAAACAAACGCTCAACCAGCTCGTCCTTCTCAGGTCTCTTCTCCAGGTTCTTCTTCAGATTGTCTGTAGCCCGCTGGCGGTCGAGTTCCTGGCGGGCAGATTGAAGGGCTCTGTCATTGTGTTAATCATATCTCAAAAACAAAAAATACGAAACTCCCGGAAACACCCACGGGGCTACATTGGTGTCCAGCAGGATGTGGCGGTTCTTGAGGTCCTGTATTTCTGGGCGGGTTTGGAGGTGTTTCTCCAGAGAGTTACGACGCTCGTGGGTTGGGGGAAGGGATTGTTCGATGGAAGACATTGTTTGGCAAGTAATGATATTCAAAGTATTCCGAGGATTGAGGATTGATACGAGGAAATATCAGTCGAGAGGAATGAAAGGAATCAAAGTAATTTAAAGCCGAAGGCGAAAGTCAAGTGATGTTCCCGTGGGACACGCGGGGAAAGCGGCGGTCTATACTTCGACATCATAGGGGACCGACATCATAGAGACACAAAAGGCCTACTTACCACAGAAGAAAACAAGTCGAGTAAATTGAATTCACTAGGATAATATGGGATAATCTGGAACTGGCATACTAGTAGATCATAAAAATTAAAAAAAAAAAAAGATACAATCCACTTTCATACCAGCTCCCATCGCAAAAGAAAGAAAATAGAAAATAGAAAATAGAAAAAGCAACCGTCTCAACGTCTCCGCAATTTGACGATCTCCCATCTCCGTCTCCAAAGGAAAGGGTGAAAAGGGGGAAAAAAAAGAAGGGGGGGCACAAGATTTCCGAAATAGACATATCCAAGCAGCTCGTCATGGCCGCGGGTTGAATCCACCATGGGATTCATGTCCTTTCGTGTCCGAGATCCGATCATGCCGGGGTTCTGGGATGGTTTATGCCGGGGGAAGAGGGAAAAGACACACTCTGCAGGCAATCAGGCAATCACAGCAAGACAGATCACCAGATCCAGGTCCCCCACATTGGGGGGAGGCCGGGTTATTGCAGTCCAGCAAAGAGAAAAGAGACACCCCTGTCCGGTTCTGGATGCATTGGTTCACAAAACACTCCAGTCTACTATCATCAAGAGATGATGTGGAGTAGACCGTTCTGCTCGTGTTAATCAAGGAACCCAAAGCTTACCACGACCACGACCATTGCCCCGTGCACCGCGCGAGGATCCACCACGGCGACCATTAGATGAGCGGCGAGAGGCTCCAGCATTATTACCCCGGGAGGCACCGGTGGCACCGGTGGTAGCCTGTTGGGTGCTCAAGTCTACAGTCTGCGGCTTGGTTGCACCACCCAGAGACCGGCTGAAAGAGTCCGGGTCGATGGGCTTGGTAGGAACTTCCACAGTGACAGTAGGCTCAACAGGAGGTGGTGCAGCCTTCGTGGCAGCCTTGGGAGTAGCCTTCGGAGCAGCCTTGCGCTGACCCCCACCACGCGAAGCACCTCGGGGGTTCCCTTTTCCACGACCGCGGGGGACAAACACTAGCTCATCCTCGTCGCTCTCTTCCTCGTAGGACAACAACGTCTTCGGCTCGGCGGGTTGGGTCTGAGTTTTCTCAACATATTTGCAGCGGTTTTTGTACTCGCGCTCTTCGTACTGGATAGCGGTGCGTAGCTGCAGAATATTCTTGACACCAATGCCAAACTTTTGAGCCCACACCTGGGTCGCACGGTCATTGGAGATCAGGATGCAGGTCTTGGCCGAGTTCTCGGCATCGGGGCCGGTATGCAACCGCCAGAGCAGAGCACTCAGCAATGGGCGCAGAGCGGGCGGCGCGGTCGGGATGACGGATCCGGAGATGGTGCGCTGGTGGGTAGAGGCCTTGCTCTTGGTCTTGTTATTCTTGGCTGTTCCATTGCTGGACTCATGCTGGGCACACTCGGGGCTGGTACGGGAGCTGCGAGAGGATGTGCGCGATCCAGGTCCGCTGGGGGTGCCGACGGAGGTGATCGACACAGCCTCCGGATCCTTCTTAAAGTTCAGTTTGGACAAGAGCATCTGCGACAGATCATCCGACTCGTTCTTGGTCAAAGTATCCTCGGCGCTGGGTTCAATCGCTGGCTCTTTATTGCCAAGTGCCTCGTCAACTACCTCGTCAACTACCTCGGGCTCCTCTTCGAACTCCGGCAGGAAGAATTTCTCGGCCTCCTCCCAGCGCTCGTATTGTTCCATGGGGCCCTGGAGGACAACTCGGTCGGCGGCAATGTGATCCTTGCCGGAAGTGACGCGGTCAAGAAAGCGAACTGCTTCGCGGGCGTTGATGGCGACCTGTGATCCCGCTCGCTTCAGCGCATGGAGTCGTTCAAGTGCTGATCAGAGAACAACGGTTAGTGGCAAGCGCGCCGGAATAAGGCAATCAGAGTCCTCCTCAACATTCGGATACTCACTGTAAAGAGGAACCACGAGATCGATAGCACCATTGGTAGTCCATTTCTTGATCTCGCTAATATTGGTGGACAAGGCCGTCTCGTCCACGGCACATCGGAAGACCTTGCGTCCGGTCGACATGGCAGATATTGAACGAGTGTATTCGTGTGTTCGTAGTGAGTGAGAGGTACAGGTCAAAGACCGCCCTATATCGGAAGACTAGAAATGTAGACAACCGCGACTGAATCAGGGCCGGTCAGCACGGGCCTAGAGCTGAGGAAGGAGGTTTGATGATGGAGGGACCTGGGAATGTGGGGGGAGGAAGAGGGAAGAGTGGGATGTCGGTTGATAAAGCCAGGAATATTTTCACTCACGATGAGAATCCAGTTGACAGGATGTTTCCATCTGCAGCATCTTTGTAACAATACAGTCTGCTTGGGGCCAAAGAACACACCTTTGAGAAATGATGCGATGGGCAGAGACCGGGATGGAAATATGCTGACTAAGCGGGCTTCAGGAACAAGGCCGAATTCCAAGTGAGAGAAGTGAGGGTTTCTATATTTCGCAAAGGGATACAGTCTAAGAGTAGAGAAAGATGGAGAAAGAAAGAAAACGATCATGTTTCTGAAGAGAAGGGTTATCATTCCGCTATGACTTCACCTTCTTGATGAGGCCATCCGATTCCTTAACTCGTTGCGCCCACTCACTGGTTTTGGTGTTCATATTAGTACTAGTAGCAACGTTTGAATTACAGGGGAAACTTTATATACTTACGTCCAGCTGCCGTCATATACTCGACGCAGATTTGGATCGCCATATTCTGCCTCACTCAGGGCTGTCTCAATGATGGAGGCAGTCACGCCAGTGCCACACGAGCTGATGATTGTTTGGTTTGGATCCACCTTGTGGGCCTCAAAGACCTTTCGCAGGTCTTCAGCAGGGAGATATGCTTTTGTTTCAGGGTCCAGCAGTTCTTGGAAGGGCAGGCTCTTGGAGCCAGGGATATGGCCCGATGACAGGCCAGGCCGCGGCTCGGGGTCGGTTCCAGCCCAGCGACCATAGGAGCGTGCATCTAGGATCTCTATTTCCTCTGCACCTTCTTTGCCATAGTCAAATGCCAACTCCTTCATCTCCCGGAAGGAGATCACTAGTCGCGAGTCGTATGTTGGAACAGAGTACTTGGACTTCTCCACCACTGCTGGCTCGCCGCTCTCGGTCGGAAGACCTTCTTTAACCCAGAGACGATAGTTGTTGAGGATGTGCACATTATCATGGCCAAATACGCGCAGCGTCCAGCCTACACGGGGGGCACTGAATATTCCTACGTCGGCAGTGTCGTAAACCACCACCGAGTCGTCGCGACGGATCCCCAGCTCACTCATAGCCTCGGCAAAGGTCTCACAAGTGGGAAGCATGTGTGGATAGGGTGAATCTTGATCTTTGATAGCGTCAAGGTCGAAGAATCGGGCCTGCGGGATGCGTGAGTTGCGGAACGAGTCAATTCCCTTACGACCCTCTGGGTCGTTCGGCATGAACCATGCTGCACAGAGAGGAATCACGCGGGGGAAGTTGAGATTTTTGTCGTGGGGTTCTTCTTGAGGGCTTCATTCAGCTGCTTTGGTGTCACTAGGTATGAAGAAAAAGAGACATTGCGCTGTGTATGGAGCCCTGTGGAGATGGACATGTTGGGGCGGAAGAGACGAGCGGGAGCAAAAGATCTAGCTGCGAAAGCCATGGTGGAGAGAGAGAGAGAGAAAAGGAGCCTTTTAAAGACCAATTCACATAACGAGGTAGCAAAGGCTTAGGAAGATATGCAAAATGCAAGTCAGACCAACGAGTAAGAGGAAGCGGAAGGGCAGGGAAGAGCAATAAGAGGAGTACTATTGCGTGTTATGGCGGCATATGTGGAGGTCCACAGTGCGGAGAACATGTGATAAGGCCGATAAGAGATAAGCGTCGGCTGTTGACCGATGGTTTTCCCTCTCTCTTCACCTCTTCAGCTTGGCTCTCCACTATACCATCCCCCCACAATGAAGGTCGCCATTAAAGAATGGAATGCCGTTGCTACTTGGCACTGGGATATTCCCGAGGATGAAGTATGTGGCATCTGTCGTGTTCAGTTCGACGGCACTTGTCCAACCTGTAAATTCCCTGGTGACGACTGCGCACTTGGTGAGTGACATTTCCTACTCCCAATGCCATGATGAATACTGACTGTGATGACTATTACAGTGCAAGGAATATGTAACCACGCGTTTCACATGGTAAGACTGCGGAATGAACATCTCAAGCTAGGACTGGGCTGATCAACCCATTTGAAACAGCATTGCTTGATGACCTGGATTGACCTGGAGTCTTCCAAGGGACTATGTCCAATGTGCCGACAAAGTATGCTTTCTTTGTATTATTTGAATGATATCAAGCTAACTTGTCTCCAGAATTCGAATGGAAGGGCAAGGAATAACGGTATAATTTGTGTTTTTTTTCCCTTCTCATCAATGGTTATCAAGGCGTTGTCGGACGAATTCGAGATACCCCTTTGTTTTTTTATCGAGCATGCAAACTTGGATTGGAAGAGTTGATGGGACCTCAGTCTCAACTGAGCATCAGATTAATGCCGTGGTTGGAGAGACTTTGACCAATTGATCAACACAAGGTTGGATCCCAGTTTATACTTCATTCTTAGAAAACAAGGCTGTTCCTACTAGAGTGACTATTATTTATGCGTAATTTGATTGATGTAGATTATTGGTTACGGATTGCATTGGTGTTCGATGTTCGATATGCTGATGTATATATTTGCAGATCGGGCTATAGATAGGTCAATCTATAGATCATATGCAAGAAACCTACCAAGTACCATTCTATAAAAATGGACAATAAAAGCAACACCACACCCTGGAAGATAGTGCATCTACCAATATAAAAATCGTTTAATAACTACATTTGTCGAAATTCCATCTTAGGCCTATGATTGGAGCGTATTTGGCCCCCGCAAGAAGGCCTTGGAAGGCCTTGAAATACAATCCCCGGTCTGTTTGTTATCCCTCACCGCGACAAGTTGCCTCGGTTTCTCTTTCGAGCTTTTCTCGACGACGCTAAGAACTCCATAGACTAGGAAGAAGAACATGGCGAATAGAAGCTGTGGGACGTGTAGGGGTATGTTTCATTCCGGAAAGCCACTGATATACAATTTTTGTATTTTGCTATAAAAATGAAGGAGCAATGGGATAAATATGGAAGGAAGGAGCGTGTAGGACGGAAAAATAAATCCAAATATAGCTATGTTTACACTGATTTACATATGACTATGTATCCATTCGTCTTCCGCTAGCTCCTTGGCTGAGCTACGCTTACTGGGCTCCCATTGCAGCATTTTACGCATAAAACGCAGAAAAGATTCTCTCTCGGCTTCCCCGTCGAGAGTAGTTTCCCTCTGTTCAAGTGGTACTAAACCCGTCAGTAAATCCGGATTCAGGAAATCGCCTGGAGTGACCTAGTTAGTGGACCTGGATGCCGAAATTCACTATGTACCGTGAGAATAAGAAACTTGCCTTCACTCGAAAAGAATTTGTCTTTCAGCTCCCCTTGGGTAAGAAGGCTAGGAGGTGGGGGGCCGAGAAGATTGATCATCTCGGCAAGATGGGCTCGGCTCCGGTATCTTTCAAATTCGGGGTCTTGACCTGTGAATAACGAACCGCCTTCGTAGATATCCCAGATCTATAACATGGCTATTAGCGATTATCGGATCATGATTTAGCTGTTAGTCTTACCATGCATCCCACATTCCATATATCGGCGCTAAACGTCCATGGAACGCCCAAAATCACTTCAGGTGCTCGGTAGATCTGAGGTTGAATGAATACCGAGTGGTACTGATCACCGTGTATGGCCGAACCAAAATCGCAAAGGATTGGGGAGCTGACTTGTTTGGGTACTTTGAGTTCCTGGGACATGTAGATTGTTCTCCCGTCTGCGTCTACCTCTTTCCTTGGAACGGGCTTTTGAAGCTCGTACTCTTCAAAGTCAGTGAAGACTGAATCATCCTTAATTCCGAACATGATGTTATCAGCCTTGATATCTAATGGGGAAATGAGTAAGGAAATCGTAGAGGCCGGAGGTGATGAACGGGGCCACGAACCAGTGTGTGCAATGTGGCACTCTGTATGAAGATAATCCAGTGCTAGAAATAGGCGATGAAGAACGACTGCGATGACTGGTGAGGGTAGTCTCTCTACCGGGTTGCGGCGTAAGAAAGCCAAAACACTCTCCCATAACGGGGGATGCACAAGGCATTGATGCTTATCCTGAGGTCCGTCGATGTAAAATGTATCAAGTAACGTTCTTATCACGTCACGACCGGGATGGACCGTTGAAGACTGCTCCATGTGTTTGTACATATTGAGCTCGTTATCCACTTGTTGGCCCATAGATGAAGCCTGGGCGAAGATTTTGAGCATAACATAACGCCGATCGCTATGACATTGGTGTGTAAGTATCTCTGATAAGCCAAGTTAAAAAAATCATGAGGAATCTCACTCGATGTCCCGTGCAAGCCATGCAGTTGAGGTAGACCCAAATCCCAATTTACAGATAACTTGATACCGCTCCTTGATGACTTCTCCGATCCGAGTTGGATAATACTGCGAGGCGATATAGTCTGGGAGAGTCTCCTCTTCAATCTTGTGCCACTCGGGTATCCGGACGCTGAAAAGGCGCCGACGGCGAAGATGCCTTATTTCACAGATCAGGTAATCTCTCGCTCTTATGGTTTCCCTTATGTGACTACTATTTCCTATGTTGTACGTAGCCTTCTGTTTCACTAGTAGGTTATGAGGCCCCTTGCTCGAGGACTCCGAGGGCTATCAGCTCAGGGATACTCAAAACAAACCTCCCGCCAAGTCTGCTTATGTCATTATCCAATTTCAAGTAACGTCAAGTGACCGGGTAACTAGTTGAACTCATAGTTAACTACCTAGGCACATGTAGTTATTAACCGATTTTTATATTGGTAGATGAATTATGCTCCCAAGGTGTTGCTTTTACTGTCCATTTCTAAAGATGATAGAAATGGTACTTCTAGACTTTTTCCTGCTGGTTCTCTCGCCGAGTCATTGTTACATCTAAACCCCACTGCCTTACCATCCAAGCGTTGTGTATCTTGTATCTTAGCGGATCAACTAAATGGAACTGGGAGAGTTTTAATATCTGGGAACAGACTTGTATTAGTTGATTTCTTACCTCATAGTTGGTGAGTAATGCTGGGATCAGCTTTTTAATCTCCAGCATGGCAATATTCTGTCCAAGGCAGACGCGGCGACCAGCCCCAAACTAGCGATAAAAACTCAATATTAGCCAGGCGAATAAATCCGAAGAGCAGAGATCTGCCCACCGTCATAATGCTGGCCAGCATCTTCTGCCGCTGCTGTGGATCCACATCCACCCATCTCTCAGGCCGCCATTTCTCAACATCTTCACCAAAAGTCGGTTTGTGTCGATTCACCACATACGCACTCATTCCCATGGTTGTGCCTGCGGGGAAATATTGACCACAGATAGTAGCACCCCCATCTGGGATAATTCGTTCCATTGGGAGAGCAAACGCCGGGCGAAGCCGTAACGCTTCCCACACACATGCGTCCAAGTAAGGCAAGTCTTTAACCTCTTTAAAGGCCGGGAATGGTTGGGATAGATTGCCTTGTCGCCGAAGGTTAAATAATTCATCCTGGAGGCGATGCAACGTCTGGGGATGGGTTAGAAGGTTGTACATGATCGTTCGCATCGTATTACCCGTCGAGTCGGATCCTGCGACCACATTTGAGAAGGTCCATGCCCGAGGAGCCCTAAAAAACCAGTCATTTCGTTGGCTAAGATCAGCTTTTGTAAAGGGGTTTATACCAGTGGGGAATTCCAGGTTTGGTCCGTTGAACGTCCATGAATTGTGACAGCATATCGGTTTTCATATCAGCTTGATCCGTGGTTTTCTCCTTTTGATGCGAGTCCCGTCGCTCAGACAAGAATTGATCGACTATTTTCAGAATGGCCAGTCCTGTGGGTTCTTTGAACGAAGCAACAAATGCATTCTTATTCCACCAAGTGTCCAGCCAGGGGATCTGTGTCATCTACACATCCAAGCATGTTAATTTGTTTCGCTTTCTATCTTTTTATTTGAGGGTGAATGACTTACAGGGGCCACTTTCTTGAAGAATTTCCAGATGGAATCCAAAAGTCCATCTACATCCTGACCTTGCTCTAAGAATCCATAGCGACGCGAAAAGGTCAGTGTGCCCATGACATCAAAGGCAAAGTATTGCACCCAATCCCCAAGATCAAACACCTGTTTGGTCTCAACGAACCGATGGTCTAGCTGCTGGAAAAGAACCTTCAGGGTCCGGTCGACGAAATGCTCTAACGTCATGACGCGAGACATCGAATATAAACTAGCAATGGGGAATTTCAACTCTTTGTGGACCTTCTCATCTCTGCTGTTGAACACAACCGTCATCGCACCTCCTTTCCGGCTATAAGGCATTTGGACTTTATAGAACTCGCTCTAGAAAAAACAAAAAAAGCATTCAGTTAGCGAGTAAGGGAAGAGGAGAAAAAAAGAAAAGAAAAAAAAAAAAAAAAAACATCTGTTGGTCACCTTGACAAATCCCATCCGCATCGGATATAATGTTGTAATAGCATCTGGATCAGACACGGAGACAGTATTCGGCCCAAATCGCACGAAGCTCCCGTATTTATCATGCATCTCTCTATGAATCACATGAGCGCAACCTGTTTTCACCCACAACACCCGCTGCAAATTGGTCACTCGAGCCCAGAGAGGACCAGGGACATCTCTGAGTCGCCAGTAGGTGGTTAATACGTTGGATAATAAACATAAAAGACTGACGATGGCGAGAAATTTGATAAGATTCGTGTAGTTGATATCTTGGGTCTGCAAGATTTCGAGTGCTCTCGACGACATTTTGGAGGAGACTATCACTCGTATTTTTGATTTATGTGGTGAGGGACATCTTGGAGAATTTCGGGAGAGCCTGTTCTTTGTAGCTCCTTATAGTAAGGCTCAGCTTTAGGAAATGATTTATATTGTGATGATGATTTGCTGCCCAGGTGTACACATTGGTTTGGAAAACCCTTACATGTGATAGCGTCAATGGATAGATCCTCATAGGAGATGTGGTGTAACCGTTCCTTGGTGCTCATAATGTGATGTGGGAAGCACGTATCTCGATTAACAGTAAAAATAGAACAGCGGTGTGCAGAGTATTTCATGCGGGATAATGATGGAGAATATTCGAACATCCCTCGTGTAGAGAGTCGTACAAAACTTGTATGACGGCAAAAGACGGGAAAAGTTATGGAGAATCATTGGTCAAGTTTAGTGTCAAGGAGAAATCATACGTTCAATGTTAATGTTGTATAGGGAGTATGCAAGTCTCTTCTATTCTCCCTTACTTGCTTGGGAAACTCACCAGCCTTCGCTATCTTGTTTCTGCTTAGCCTCAGCACCTTACGACTCCTTTGCGCATATTTGGGTGCATTTACGCTCGATACCACCCCGGCTTGAGCAGCGGGCCTCAGATCCAAGCAGAGACTCCACATCATTCAACATCATCGACTAAGAAGGTCACCTCAATAAAAATCCCTACATTTACACCCCCAAGGCGATCGTTCCTTTTGGATCGAGTTGCTGGTGAGCAAGTAACATCTTTGGTGCACGGTCTAGGATCTACTCTACATTTCAGAAGCGCAGTGGTCAGAATCTTGGAGTAAATGAGTATTCGCCAGCAACTTTCAAGGCCTATTCACACCGATGGCGAGAACGCAGTTGTAGCTCTAGCTCGAGACGGTTACAACAGGTCTAAAGAGTGGATTAGTCCGCCAAACTCTTCGAAGTGTCCGGGTGAGGATGCCCTTACCAAACCACCGGGCCCGCCCCAATTACCTAGTGGCGGGGATCAGGTTTATATTGCCAGGCAGTAATTTGAGCCCTCACTTTACAAAATCTAACCTCGGAATTACCTAGGTATGTTAGTCATTAGTAATATTGAAGCCAGATGATGCCTTATAATGCCTGAATACCTGAATTATAAAGTCAATAATATTAATGCCTTAGAAATAGGCACTAAATGTTGATGTTATTCGAATCTGTTGATTACCTAAATGGTAGATTTTGGGTCCACGGGTTCCCGTCTGATTACTGGTCCAATCGTCACGTGACGTTATCGATAAGAAGCTCTCCGCACGCGATACAGAACCTCATCCTATCCCAAGCTCTTCTCCAGAAATGATGTAGCCTCGGTTTATGGAGATGTCTCTGAACAACTCTCCCTTTAATCCCCCCTATCCACTTCCTCATCCCGACAGTCCCTGCATAAGGAAATACCCTCTCGGCCTGGCACCGCCTCTTCGCGGCCAAGTGATCGACACTCAAGAGGGCAACAGCCGGAGGGCCGCCCATCAACGGACGAAACCCATCAACTCCCAGGAACAGTTGAATCGCTTTCCCAAGATGCAGGTTTGGATGGGACTGAAGACCACCACGAGGAAGGTCAAAAACAACCTCAATCACACCCCACATTCCAGCCGTTCTTCACCTTGATCGAAGACGCCCATACCTCAGACTACCACCACCCAACAGTCCACTATATATTCTCCGATGATGACACCGATATCGTGACAGAGGCAGCATTACGTAGTTTATCCGCACAACAAGAAGCCCTCTCCGATTCCAAGAAAGACCAAATCGCGCAGACCCAAGCATCGAATCTGCAGAACGAGATCATCAAAGACCCGTCCGACCCAAACCTAGCCAAGACCACCCTACTCCCGCCGCCCATTCCAGGCATCCGAGATAACTACATCATCCTCGATATAGAGCCCTCGTCACACATACCTGGGGCAGCGCAAACTAGTCCGATAACCGAACAGACAGCACAAGGCAAAGGTGGGGGTGGCACAAGGTCCATATCCACGTCACCGGCGAACGCTTCGTCACCCCCACAAGATCAGGGACAGCTAGACCCGCAGTATCACGTTACCGCTGCGCAGAGCTTCTCATCAACATGGCAGGTCCTCAACACGGAAGTGGTGCCTGCACCCACTTTTGAGAATAACAATCCTGGAGAGCTACCAGGACATGGGTTGATGCTGAAGATCCGTGGCACAGGTGGGCCGCCGATTAATGTGGGTGGCAAGGAGAAGGAGAGCGGCACACTTGAGGAGATGATGGATCAGTTTGCGAAGCGGATGAGCGAGTTGCAGGTTATTATTGATGCCGCGGAGGATACGGATGCGAAAGAAGAACAGGACCAGGAAAAACTCGTACAGCATCCCTTCTCTCCAGACACAGCTGAAGAGACTATTCAGGACGAGGGGGGCAGTGCCGCTTATGCTGCAGAACATGAGGCGGAACAGTCTTGATGATTTAGTATTCCTGTTTGTGATGCCCCACGGGGAAATCATCGGTGCTTGTACTAAATCTAGCCTACTAACAGGCTAGTGCTGGGTGAACGTCATGCATATACTTTGAATACAAGACGAATCAACCCAAATTGGGGGATCAAGTATGGTATTAAGATCGAATTTGACATCCCCATAGGAATATCAGTGTAGCCAAACCAGAAACGCCAAGTACAATCGCTTTTCTATGGCACTCAGACAAAATGAAGAGATACAAGAGAATGTCTAACCCAACACTGTTTTCTCAGCCAAAAAACTCCAACCAAGAGTGGAAAGCCCAGCGACTATCGGGTATCAAAAATTGTCAGAAAGAAGAGCAAAAAACAAACGAACAAAAAAGCAAAGCGCAGAAAATAACATGAAATCCACCTAATCAAGAGGCGCGGTTTCTGAATCGGCGGCCGCCGCTGGCAATGGCTGTGGGGGGCACGTTTTCACGACCCTCCTTCACGCCAGCCATCCTTTTGGACAGCATGGTTTTGGGGAGTTTGGTTTCGGGGATGTTGTTTGAATTCGAGCGGCGCCGTTTGCGGGAAGGTTCTGGTTCTTCCTTTTCTGGCGTTTCGTCCAGGTCCATGGATGTGGCCAATGCGGGAGGTTCCGGCTTGGTGGGGGGTAGTGCGTCGTCGCCATCAGACACGACCGGTCTGGCGACGTTTAGGTCGACTTCTCTAAGGCCAGTGTTGGAAGGTGGGGCTGCGGGTGATGGAAGAGAATGGCCTACCTCTTCCGGGGTATCATTATACACGAATTTCTTGGCCGGTGAAGCCTGGGGCGAAGTGGGAGCAGGGGAATCCTGTTGTTCTTCCTCACTGAATGGCAGAGCGGTAAACTGCTTGGATGTCCGATGTCGAGTGCGAAGACCGTCGTGAGCTTCCGTTTGAGGCATTTCCGAAGGGTATTCGTATCGTCGTTTCTGAGGGGTTATACCTGTTGGGACATACTCTTTCAGGGGGTGGCTCTGGACGTTGGATCGCATTTCCAAAAGTGGCTGGCGGACTTCAGCGTGTAGAGGTGCAGTAGCTTGTTCCAGGTTCTCTGTATGCATATCGACATCATCCTGGAGTTGCTCGACTCGTCCAGTGAACCCATCGAGTTGCCTATAGACGTTTGAGCGGGACTCTCGGGCATTCTTAGCCATAGCATTCAAACTGCCGAGGTGCGATTCATGGAAGCGGCCATTTTGGGACCGTGCTTTCGCAACGAAGTCATCCAAAGCCTCCATTTGTGTACCCATGTCGCTCATTTGAGCATCAACAATCCGCACAGTCTCCTGGTGTACAGACTCCGTTGCCCGATGAATCGAGGCATTACGCTGGTCGAAAGTCTACTGTTGTTAGTCTCCTTGCGCAACCTAAAGATGTCAGGCGGTCTTACCTCCCAATCATTCTGCATCCTGGTTTTGATTTCATCCTTGGATGCAGTAACGTCCTTCGCAAACTGCTCCTCCTTGAAAATCCATTCATCAATATGCCTGTCGTGCTGTGCAGTCGCTTGCTCAAGAGAGTCGCCTGATGCCGAGATGTCGGTACGAAGGGAATCAAATTTGCCCTTGAGACGGTTGTTCTGTTTATGGCTTGAGTCCTCGAGGAGTGCCCGAATGTGAGACATGAGATTTTCACGCTCGGCATGTGCACTCGCATGTTCCTCTTCCAGGACCTGTGCTAGATTGGATGAAGCCTTTCTATTGGCCTCCACCGTCTGGCGGTTAGCTGCCTGCAACTCGAGACGTAGTTTGTGGACCTCGGATTTCTGTTCGTCGAGGTGCTTTGCCATATCCTCGAACATGGTCTTGAAGTCCTTACCAAGTGTGCTGTATGACGAGTGAAGTTGGGAGTGGAACTCCGAGAACTCCCCAATAACCTCCTCGGAGATCCGAGCAGCAGCAGCTGACAAGCCATTCAGGCCTTCGCCAACTTTGGACTTAACTTCTTCACGAAGGACCTTGATCTCCTCGAGAACTTCATTCATCTCGTTGTGGGCAGTGGAGGTGTTATTCTTGGCCCCTGCCTCGGCCTTGTCAAATGAGGCATCGAGATCCCTAAGGTGGGAGCGGGTAGACTGCACAGTGTCCAGTTCATGGTGTACGAATTGGTGGATTTTGCCAGACATCTCCTCGAGCAGCTTGGCATGCTGCGTCTGGAAGATCTGCATGCGAGCATCCACCCGTTCTGTGACATGCGATACCTCACCGGTTGAGGTCTGCCAGGTTTGGCGGTTGTCGGTCTCCAAATTATCTTTGCGATCCAATTTCGCGTGCAGTCCATTCACGTCTTGAACGGTACCGTTTAAAGTAGTCACTAGGCCGGCACCAATGTGACGAAGTTGCTTTTCCGTATTTTGATGGGCCTTCCGCACAATCTTCTCCTCGTCCAGCTTCTCCTGGGTGTCCTTCCAAAACCGTTCTGTTTCGTTGAGAACTTCGCGCGTTTCTTTGAGTTTGGCCTGAGTGTCCTCATTGTCATGCTTTAATGAGTTGAAGTTGCCCGTGATAGAAAGCAGCTCTTGGACCTTGTGGCGAAGGCTTGCCTCCATCGACTCGATCTTTGCACGCTGTTCTTCGTTGACGATTCGCCGCGATTCACTTTCCATCGTCATTTCTTCGTACGCATCAGGCGTCATATAGACACCATTGCGATGCCGGGTGGCAATGAGCTCGCTCTTAAGCTTCTCAATTTCCATCCCGATGTCACGCAGCAGCTTGGTTTTGGAGATGATAGAATTAATCTGGGGTTTGTTGCGGATGTTCTTGGCTCGGAAGGCATAATCCAGGGTAGAGATGGTCTCCTCTAGGTTGTTGCGGGCGGGCGAAACAGTGGCGATGATACATGTTTTTGTTCGTCCTCCAAGTGAATCTTGTAGCAGTCTCGTGAGTTTTGATTCTCGGTAAGGAATGTGCGAGCTCTTATCCACCAGAGCGTTGATCACTCTTCCAAGAGTAAGTAAGCTCTTGTTGATGAGGCCTGCCTCCGTTGCTCGTTTATTTTCTGCACCGCTCCGTCCGATGTTCTCGCTACCCGCGAGATCAACTAGATTCAGCTTACCCGAGCTAACATAGTCCTCGCCAGATTCGGTCGTGCGCTTTGTGAGCACGGTAATAGTGAAAACTGTATGACTTCGGGAACTCAGGTCATTGCATTTTGTCGCTGCCACTTGGCGTTTGTGGCTGCCTGTTTGAAGCAATCTGATTCCACTGGACGCAGAGTCGATGTAGGTCTCCTCCATGCCCTGAACCATTGTGCTGTGTCCTCCCTTCTTCTCGTTTTCGAAAATCTTGAGCTTGGTGCTATCGTCGTATGACAGAAGATCACGGAGTTCCTCGTTGTAAAGTTCAATAAAGGAGCATTTCACTGTGCTCTCTGTGTCCTCGAGCTTGTGAAACAAGGCGTAAAGGGTACGTGGAATAATTCCTGCATCGTCGGAGAGGATGCCCAATGTGTCAGTCATGTCGCCTGACATGGTATATGTTTTTCCCGTTCCAGTCTGTCCGTATGCGAAGATGGTGCAATTGTAACCTGCCAACATCTGGAAGGAATTAGCGTTGGTCCTTTGATTTTGTATGCAGTTACTATACTAACCTCGTCGAGGACCGGCACAACCACATCCTCGTAGACAGCGGTTTGATCGGCGGCGGGGAGAAGACCTTGTCGAAAGCATATGTTTTGTTTGAAACCGCATTCGGTCCCATTGAGAGATCGAGGGTCTTGCCCTTCACACCTTCTGGGGTTGACAAGACTACACCGTTGTTCTCTTTGATCTCGCGATCGCTGCGACCGCGACAGCGCACCACCACATGAATGCTTGTGTCCTCGTTAATTTCTCGTTCAAAATCTTTCTCCTTCCTCTTACTCGCGGCGCTCGGCTTTTCGGGGCTCCTTGCTACACGAGGCGCACCCATCGCAGAGGACCTGACTGATGGTGTAGACGCTCCCGGCGGTGCATGGCGTTCTGGGACTGCCGAACCTGCTCGTCGAACCGGTTGGCGCAAACCCGACCTCCGCGTGGTGGGGAGGGTGGACGGGGGCCTTGGTGGGCCGACCATGTTGACAATGCGACACTCGGAGTGTAATTTTGGTGTTTGCAGTAATATTCGAGGGTTATTTTCAAACTCGGATTTGATCTTTTCACCAACTGCGTCGGAGTCTTTCAGCGTTGTGTATATCAGTGGAGCTCCGTCTCAAACGGGAAAACATAAACAAAGCTTACGTAATCCCGTCATTTCCCCCTCTCACATGACTCGGTCGGCTGCGCTTATCGTCATCGCCCTCTTATCGCTATCACCCCCTCATATCATGTTGACTCCCCTACATCTCCGCACCCTCCAGGCGCCCCCTCCTACCTTTAACTAATAAACATAGCTCGAATATCGCATGGACTGTCGTCCACCCGTAGTGGGCAGGTCATGAAAACAGACAGACCACTATGACTACTTCTACTTCCCCAACGCAGGCGCAGATATTCCCTGGGAAAGGACTTGGGTTTATCAGTAAGTCTTAGTCTCACAGCCATTTCAGCTACTCTCGCTAATACTTTCGAAGCCCTGGGCGCGTCGCTTCATAATGTCCTCACCCGCGTCAAGTCGTATCCACAAACCTATCCCGCCATCGACCTATCCTACTCCCCCGCAGATCCGCTTCGCAAACCGGTGGTATTGCAGTTACCTTCAAATGGCCTGCGGCTTCGATTTGATGGTCCTGACCAGAGGCTCCGTTTGATCGAAGTTCTCGACTTCTCTCGAGTGAACATGGTATACAAAAACCAGGATGTCCTCAAAGGTGGGGAGTCAGCAGAACAACCCTTGTCTTCGCACGGCCCCAGCTTCCGACATGTCTACAATCGCTTGTTTGGTCCTTCATACCCAGGGGAGTATGTACCACCGGCAGATCCTCAGTCGCCGTATGGCACCTACGTGCTTTCGTATCCCGGGGTGGCATTCTCGTTCCCCCTTCAGCACTCTGCCT